TGTAGCAGTCCAACCGACTCGTGGACTGTCCGGACGGTAGCACTGTCATTTAGACGCCTATGCACTGATCGAAAATAAACATACATGCATACACTGTAATTTACTATGTGGAGAACACTCATTTTATCTGTAAAGTTGATTGCAACGAATTGTGCAACAAATGAACTTGCCAAGACAGACTATAAAAAATTAATTTTCTATGTAATATTCTTAATTGCAAAGAAGCCAAATCTGGCAATGTTGCTCAGAACTGACTAAAGCGCCACTTGTAATCGTCCAATGCGCCAAGTTTGGCGCATGCGCCACTGTTTGGCCACCCCTGTTCTATTCTATTGTAACTGAAGATCAGTGAAGCTGATCAAAAACATTATTATTTAGTAAAGTTCATTGCTGGATTTTGTAAAGGTGTGATTTTTTATTGTCTATCTATCCAGTTGATACAAAATATATGAATGTACAGATGCATTTTCTGATCTGACGCTCATGTCAGATCAGAAAATATGAACAACCAGGGCTGTAATGGGTTGTGACTTCTGTACATTGTATTTGTGCTCCTTCAAGTGTGCACAAAGAGATCTTAAGGTAGTACTATACACAATAAGTCATGTGCAATTCTATTGTCCATAACAGGAATCGTATATACATCTGGAACATTTATACAGCATGGTGTAACTTGTAGATGTTGGGATTTGTTTTATAAACAATTATTCTACCAATAGCATTACTAATCTCATTACAGATATTTTGGAGTGGTCAAGTATTCCACTACTGTGTAATCACTCTGGAGTGAACCTGAAGGAACAAACAATATCATCCACGTTGAGAAAACACTGATCTGCAGAGTTTTTCCCTTTATTATTATCCAAATTTTTTCTTATCATTTTTTGTCAAAAAAACAATTCATACATTTATCTAATGACGTATTTATGTTTACATGTATAAGGATCTTTGAAAGAAAAAAAGGAAATAAAAAGAGAAAATTAAATCTTTATATGTAAAGTTCATAGCATAAAAAAATGTAATATTTTTGAATATCCACAGTTCACTAAAAACAAGAAAAAAATTTCAGCCATTACAATAATAATTTACAGATTATATGTTGTAAACATGAAATGTAATATTTTATGAAATCAAACTACTAAAACAACTTTCTTTCTTCATAAATATTTCTAAAAACATCTGATTGGTTCTGATCTCATTCTTTTTTAACTTTATTTTCCAGTACATTAAGACATTACCTTGAAGATTTCTTTTATATTAAATATAAATATATTAAAAAGTTACCTGTTTCTTGCACGTGCCATGCTTCTTGCCTTTCTTTGTTCAAAATGTCGTTCATCATCACTCGAAGTACATGTTGAAGAACTATTATGAACTGCATGGTGTTTCCTTCAATAAAAATATAAGTAATATTTATTTTCAAGCAATGATTGATAGAATTAGGCCAGGAACACACATGTGTAAAATTTGGCATAAAATCTAGCATAAAACAGAAAATGTAAAAATTTTTCTGGAATTTTGGTTGAAACAGAACTGAAAATAGAGTAGAGCATGTCTCTACTTTTTACGCCGAAAAATTTTTACGCCAAAATTCCTCCAATAAAGAGAAGTCTTTCCTGTGATGTCAAAGTAGACATGTGGTTTTTATTCTAACAATGGCAGCAATGAGGGTTAATCCTACAATTGTGACGGTCTGGAAAAATAGAGGAGTTTATTGAATCCATTCGACCACAACAGTTTCATGTATAAAGACACTGTATTTAAACAACATTTATGGATGACTACAAGTGTTAAATTTCAAATAACAAGTAAGCCTAGTAGAATTGATATATAGGCCTAGTATTTAGATCACACATTCTTTATTTGAATTCGGAATACAAGTCTATTAATTTAAATTTTCTATATTATAGCAGAGAAAGTGGAGAAAAAATGGAAGGTACAAAGTGATAGATAGCCTCTATGAGAGAAAAAAATTAATAAAATTAGCACTGTTGGTGGCAGTGGTGTTTCCTATTTGGCCAGAATTTTTACGTATGTGTGTTCTGGCATAAAAGCGTAAAACAGAAACTGAACCGAAAGCTGATTTCTGATTCAGTTTTCTGCCACACAATTTTACGCATGTGTGTTCCTGGCATTAGGTAAAAATTAAATAACAGAATAATTTTTCTTGTTTCACATCTAACAAAAGATTCTTTACCGTCTTCATTCTATTTTTATTATGAATTTTTAAATTATGACATATTTAAAAATTAACATATACCAATCAACACTAACCAACATCGGAGTGAAGTTATTTACACACCTCAAAACCTGTTACTGGTATGAAACTCAAATAACAACGAAAAAACAAAAATACATTTTTTCACAAATGCTTTCGAATTATAAATGAATTTCAGATGAAGGTAAATTTCCAATAGAAAACATTTAATTAAAAACATGATTTGAAATTTGAATACGTGTTTCTTGATGACATCCCACTGGGCCTGAGCACTCTAGCTGGTAGCAATTAACAAGATTTATAGGCTTTTGTCCATTAGTGCTTGCCATGCTATGGACAGAGTTAATTCCTCTTTGTGGTTGATACAAGTGTTGTTGAGGCTAGATCTGTAGATATAAATGTCCTCCAACCATCTCAGATGTTTTGTGTATGGTGAGGTGAAGATGACTCTCGCCTGGTTAAAATCTGGCTCTACGTCTGGATCACTGGCATAAACGGCAAGAGCAATGGTTGTCCTCGTGTGCTGTATGTCATCAACATGCTCTTTCATTCTAACCCTCAAGGAGCACTTTGAAGAGCCGATACAGATGAGTTCTCTATTGTATCTGTGATCCTTAATTGGGATGCTGTACACTGCAGGGTATCTGTCCTGGTTGGGAACATCCTTTCCGTTACGAAGGACGTCAAATACGAGTGCTTGGACATCTGTATGCGATGTGAACATGGTGTTTCTTAGCTATCTCATTATATAGTGATTTGAGATATGGGGTTGTAAGTGACTGGGATCCTTTCTTTGTCATCAGGTCGGTCTTCGTCATGGGAGTAGACTTGGAATGCATCTTGGGAGCAGTGAAATCTCTTGATTAATTTACGAGTAACCTTGGGGTACCCATGCAACGAGTACGTCTCAGTTTGACGTGGAGAGCTTGTTGAGTGGATGAGTGAGTGTGTGCTCTTCTAATTAAGGCATTATAGGCTGCAATTTTATACTGATGTGGATCACACGACCCCTCAGGTATGCATATGGATTCCGATCCCAGTTTACAGTATGGATTACCGACCCTTCAATTCTAATGTTAATGTTTAGAAAATGGACCTCCATAGGGTGTGCTTGATCGATTTCCAGGGTCAAGCCATATGGGTTGTCATTAACAGAATTGACAGAGGCTGAGATGTCTGGAGTTGTCCTCCATAGAATGATTATGTCATCTATGTACCTCCTGTGTAAAATGATGTTGGGGAGGTGACGAGGGAGGATCTTGCATTCTAGTTGTCTTATCACCATCTCACATAAGTCCCCTGAGACGGGGCTTCCATTGGGACTCCTCTTCCCTGTGTGTATACTGTATTGTTGAATTGAAAAAATGAATTGTAACATAATAAATGTGCCATCTCTAGAACTTGCTGATGTAAGCTGTCATCATTTACAATGCTGAAGATCCCTGAGAGCACAAAAGGTAGGCAGGAGTTGAATCGAAGGGTATAGAGACTTAAAGTCCAATACCATGAGAAATTGTGGAGGGGAGGTGATCTCCCTGAGGAGGGTTACGAGGTCTACAGGGTTACTCACGGTAAAAGGGTACCTCTCCAAGTGTGGAGAGAGTAGCTTGTGTTCAAGCTTCTAAAGCATGTGTGTCAGTGCTCTAGCCATATTGACAAGAGGGTGTAGTTGTTGTCCCTGTTTATGAGCCTTAGCAAAGGCAAAAAGACTAGGTGTATCGGGAGAGTCAACTAGGATATTTCCCATTGTCAGGCGTTTAGCTAATTTGGTATTGGCAAAGCACTTAACCCTCGAATGTAATTTGTCCACTGTATTGTTGTCCATGATCTCACATTGTGTTATATTGATGTATTGATGTTCTGTACTCTAATAACAGTCGATCATACGTAGTGCGCCTCATGAGGATCAGATATTTAGTTTTGTCGGCCCTGACCAGCATAACCTCGTTTTGCTGCATACAACAGTGTGTGTGTCATAATTTTGTTCTCAACTGCGTTATTTCATAAGGCTTCTTGGTATTTTTAATTGTGTGTGTGGCCATCCATCAGTAGTATTCCTTTCGTCTGTCTGGTAGGCCTGGCAGTAGTCTCTCCAAGTCAGGGGTGAGCTTCAAATTCTCGGTCGTAGGAGGAGGTACGAACTTAAATCCATAGCTCAAAACTTCTAAGATAAAATCAGGTAAATTGTAAATCATCCCATACAATAAACAAGAATGTGGGGTGTTCATGACCCTTATGCACTTGAAATCTTAGGATCCATTGGAGTTTTCTGTAATAGCGTCTCCTCAGGTTGATAGTAAGTCTCATGTATCGCCATCAGCTTAGCATTTTCCTGTGCTAAGGTGTCTGGGTTCTGTCTGTAGAGACAGACCATTTTCAATTTGCACTAGCTCTGCCAATTCAGAATAAATGTTAAAAGAATTGGCCTGAACCAGGACTCGAACTCGCAACTTCTTTTCTTCCAGTTTATTCTAAATTATTTAATTAAATATTAATTATTCATTTTAATAAGAGATGGTACCTAATGCCTAACTCTAGTGCCAAATTCATTTCTATTTTATAATTATTTATCCAAAATATAGCCTGATCATNTGTTTACATTGGAACGTTTTTGATATTAGATGTCGCTATGCATCACAATTTTTATATTAAAACGAACTTTTAAAATATAATTTTTTTTTGTTTCTATATTATTCAATATATTTATTTTGTTTGTGAAACATAAAAAAATAATTTTTTACGATACAGTACACACGATTATTATTTAAAAAAAAAAATGTACTCTCATTGTAACAAAATTAAATCAATACTTGATCAGTGTGCATTTTATTTAATTAAATATTAATTATTCATTTTAATAAGAGATGGTACCTAATGCCTAACTCTAGTGCCAAATTCATTTCTATTTTATAATTATTTATCCAAAATATAGCCTGATCATTTATGGCTGTTGAACCCAATAGTTTAGCCACTGAAGCTAGTTAGGTTATAAAATTTTTAGAAATGATAATAAACAGACCCATGGAGGTACTTTCTTTCTTTCTGTTTAAGAGTGGATAAACGAAGGTAGTAATAACTAGTTCCTCCACAACTCTTAGGTTTGTTGTATTTGACACAATGACCTTGGTTTCCTTCCATTTGAGTGCAGACAAAAAGTCAACAGAATCATACTATTATAAAGAAGCACTTATGTATGACAGAACATTTCAATAATTATATTAGAAACATGAAATGCAACAGAGGCTCCTGATATCTTTCTTTGGGTCTTACAATGCAGAATTTGCCTCCTTTCCTTTGGCATGTGTTATACATCTTGATTGCCCCATTCCTTGATCACCTAATGTGTTACTTGCCTTTGTAAAAACCCATAAGGGTATACAACTACAACCAGTCTTGGACCTAGTCCAAGACTGGTTGGAAAAGAAAATTTTTTAAGATTTATCAAATTTAACTTAGAGGACCATACATATATAATTTCAAATTCCATAATTAAAAACATGATTTGAAATTTGAATACGTGTTTCTTGATGACATCCCACTGGGCCTGAGCACTCTAGCTGGTAGCAATTAACAAGATTTATAGGCTTTTGTCCATTAGTGCTTGCCATGCTATGGACAGAGTTAATTCCTCTTTGTGGTTGATACAAGTGTTGTTGAGGCTAGATCTGTAGATATAAATGTCCTCCNGTATGAATTTTCAGAATTCGACATCTAGCCTGAAATTTAACAATTTTCAAATGTAAATTTTCTGTTTCTTAGTAAATAAACAAATTAAATAATTATCAACTTTTTAAATAATTATTATTTATTATTAAACATTTAATAATATAAATAAAGAAATACCTTTTGAAAAATGAACTCTTGTGTGCGGGAGACCGAAACAGGTGACGACCCCTGTGACGAATGTGACTTGAGGAATGAAATAATTGTGATGATGATGATTTCTTTTGCCGAACAGGCTCTGTAAATATTGAATGTGCACACAAATTTTAATAGGATTTTCTTATTTGTTAATACTATCATATAAGAAACATACCAATCGGAAACTGAAATCGTTCTGTTATTGGCTTTTTTGGTCTTAAGCAATATTTGGGATGATTTTCTCCTTGTGATTCTTCTTCCCCACTAACACCAGAACCTAAATATTTATCAAAAACTTGAAGTTTAGAATTTTATTATAAAAAATTTATTCTTTACTATATTTATGATGATAAATAAACATAACCTTTTTGTTTTATTTTATAAAATAAAGAAAATGTAATACAGATTGAGAATCCTTTATCTGAAATACTTGGGAAAGGGATTGTTTCTGATTTTGGACTTTTTCCAATTTTAAAATATTTCTATATTTGCATCTATAAAATGGGAAAGCTTTGCAACAGGCCTTAAGCCTAATATACAAACATTAAACCTTTATTAATTTTCAATAAAACCAAAAACTTTCACACATCTATGTCAATATATATTTTTAAACATACTTACCTTAGATGTGTGAAAATTACTGCAGATATATTCACAGAGAGGTGTTAATTGATATATTCCAAAGAATTTGTACTAACATCAATCAATATCAGATCTTCCTTATATCTTCCAGGAATACTTTATTAGAAACAAGCGATTATTTCTAGTGGCATTAAAAATTACAGCCCAACATTGTGACAATCATATTTTTATTTTTATTTAATTTAAAATATATGTTCTTCACCTCAAATGAGTAGTGGATTGCTCCTGTAAGTCATACTTTTCCTTTAACAATAAAGTCATGTCAGTTCTCTATCTAACACCTTTTGGGGGTAAAATTTTTGAATTGAAACAATATGACTTCTGGTTTGCATCGGAAGTTTGTATATAATTATTCAGGGCTCCTGCCCCTAAGATTTTCATATCTGGTCTTGACTTTCATCTATCCAACTCTATTCTCGAGATTAAGGAAGGACAGACAGAAGACAAACAACAATAGGAATTTATGGGTCTACAGTTTTTTCAAATTGCAGCCCAACAAAGGTTTTCAGCCTAGTTTATAGGCCTGCTTCAGGTTCAACACCTTTAAATTGAACAGTTTACTGAGTATTCCAAAAGTGGAATGTTCCAGCACTTAAAACTGACTCTTTTAATTAAAAAACAATTTTTTTTTAATTGAATATTCCAATACATCAAATTAAATAAAAATAATTAAATATGTGAATAAATAAATCTATATAGCAATATTTAAAATAAAATATAACTCAGAAAATTAACACAGAAATGATAAATAGAAGTAACCATTAACAACAAAACTTGTGTATTAGATGTTATATAATACTGTAACAGCACAACTTTAATTAGATGCTTGAGTGTTATTATGGGTGTGGCCTTGTTGTAAGGATGTTAGGATAAATTTCAGCTTTGAATTCATACCTGAATTATTTAAAAAAAAAATGCTAAATTCAGGAACCAAAACAAATTTTATTCAGAAATGTTTTCTTTTTTCTTTCTCTTAAAAGAACATTATACTATTCTTTTTGATACTTTTTGCTTTATTACTTTTTTGTTTATTTCCTGTTTTGATTTGATTCATTTATTCAGAGTTTACTTTATTACTTTTTATTAAATTTTTGTGTATTTAACAATGTACTGGTAATTTTAAAATTTAAATTAGTTTGTATATGACAGTATTCTTTTTAATGTATTTGTTCTAAAGTGCTTTGAAAGATTTCTAGCTGAAGATGTTCTTTTAGGAAAATGAAAATGTTTTGAATAAAATCTGTTTTGTTCCTAAACTTTTTTTGTAATAATTCTGAATATGATACAAAGTACAAATGTTTTTTCTGTTGAATTCAAACTTGTTTAAATTTCCAATATGTTCTGGTAAACGTATTAAAAATTGTAATTGAACTACAGTAGAGCATCGATTATCTGACCCTCAATTAACCGTCACATTGGTTAACCGACCATTCTAGTCGGCAAATTCAAATATCCGCTAGTGATGTGGTGCTACAATATTTGGCTATGCCTTGGCTACTTTAATAGTACTTTTGTGTGTTTTAGCTGGCAACACTGGCTCGACCATAAAAGGGGGCCAGTATTTAAACGAGGCTTAATTTTCTAATTTTTAACAATACAATAGCGACAATTATTATTTTAAAAAAATTTTTGTTAGGCTTAACATCGATGAAAATTCAACGTGAAGTAGGTTAATGATATACTAATATACTAATTACATTTAACTAATTAATAGTGATATACAAATATACTATACTAATAATGTATTTTTTCATATTTTTCGGTTATCCGTTTTTTCAGTTATCTGACCAAGAATAGTATAATACTAAAATAAATGAGAGTTCAAGAAGGTAAGTAGCATGAAAGTGGATAATAATAAAGTAACATCAAAAAGAAATAACATTAGAATGTGAGATGAAAGAATGAGTTTTTTAGCATGTGCATCATCAATAGGATTTTAAAAATATTAAATATAAAAATTTTAAATGAAACAACACATAGAAAAAGAAAAAAGCCTTATTCATACACACTTGAAAAATTGAGATAAAATTTTTAAAAATCACTATTTAAATCTTATACATTCTTTGTTTGTCTGAGGATGGCATTTTGAAATATCANAAAATCACTATTTAAATCTTATACATTCTTTGTTTGTCTGAGGATGGCATTTTGAAATATCAAAAGTACTTGCATGTATTCAATTTATCAAGTAAATAGATTTAATGCTAAAAGATAGTATACTTTCTCCATATCCTATGTGACACTGTACCTGAGTATATAAATTTTGTTTCAGCTAGGGCTTTAATCCCAATGTCTCACAATGTTGGTGTTTTATCCATCCATGTCAAGTAGATATGTAAGAATAGTCTCATTTGATAAGGTATGACAAACTGTCATCTTAGATCAAACAAAAACAATGACAATTTGTCTTCCGGATTTTTCATTCCTTACAATATTTGCAAAATTTTAATACTGCATTTTGTAAAAGAATAAATTAATATTAGAATCTTCTCACTCAAAGCTCTTTTAAGCAGCTCATTTTGAAGTTTACTAAAGAATTTGTATGAATGACAGATCTTTAATACAACAATATTGTAAAAATTATTAAATACCTTCCAAATCACTTCCTCCTTCATCATCATCCATACTTTCATTTTGATCAGTTTCCTCACTATCAGTCATATTTGTATTTCTAGATATTCTTCTAGCATATAAATCTCTTACAGTTTTTCTTCTTTGTCTTTTAACTCTACTATACATATCATCAAATTCCTGAAAAAATAAAATATTTTTAATTCTGAAAATCACAAATTGCAAAAAACTATAGCAAAATTACCAGCATATCCTACTTGTAATCTAGAGTGGCATAAAAACCATGCTGATGTACGTCCTACAGAAAATTGCTATAACAAAAGTGAAACCTTTGCATAATCTGCATCACCATATACTGTGTACTCCAATTTTGTGTTGAAAATATGACAACCAGAATACACTTTAGAAGGTGTTGTCTCAACAACAACATCATTTCTCTCCATTTCTTTCATTTCATTTTTATTTATTTTATCAGTTTTTCAGATTATCCAAGTGTTCCATTAATTCAATGTCTTGCCTCATATAATTCCATCAATGGCCTTTCATCCCCAGTACATAAATTTCACTATAATGGCTCTCATACAGAGGGCATTTCTCTTCCCTTGTAGTCAGGCAGTGGTTGACAATGAATTGCAGTTAATATCAGTTATTCACAGTAAACATAATTCCATCTAGGGATCTGTATATAAGCATATCCAAGAATAATATTTTAGCATTGACCTCATATTCCATGGTGAATGAAATGGAAAAGTAGACTGAGGACAGCATTTCTATAAATATTAATAGTTTATCCTCTGAGCCCTTCCAAGTGCTGTCATTAGCTATCATGCATATTCAGAAAATTCAAGTTTATCATTCCACTGGTTCCCTAACCTACCTTACATAAACTTTTATGCAATGTCAGAGATAAAGTTGACTTGCTCAAAAATCAGGGATAAATGTCATACCTTTACATCATCTCTCAATCAATCAATTATATTGGAGAAAGCAATTACATTGGATCTACTATTAGAATACTCCAGACATGTATCCAAGAACATCTGGAAGACATGAAATAGTAGTATTAAACAACACCATAGATACTATTTTCAGCACAACTTTAATTTATTTAAATGAACATTTCTGATTTCTTTCACTAAATCTGCATCAGTTTTAACAAGGATATATCAGGTTATATAATTGACTAAAATCGAAAAACTACGGATTATTATTTTTAAAAAATTTCATTTTATTTTTATTTTGTTTTTAAAATTTATTAACTTTTATTTTTAATAGTTTCTAATCTTTATCATCAAATGTCAAATTTATTACATTCAATGGGTGCACAGCTCAAACATTTCTTTAAAAATGTTGCCCGTTATATATTTATTTCATATATATTCACATCTTATTCGATTTGAGTCTAACCGAATCAGCCTGAAGAGGATAATTGTAAACTATTGAAAGCATTTGTAATTTTCAAATAAGATGTTGGTTTTAATGCTGTAAGACAGAATTTATTACTTTAACATTACACTAGTTCACATTATTTGATGTAAAGTGCAATTAGCTTTCTTATCTCAAGAAATACTTAAAATGGTATATTCTAAACTGTATCAATGAGCTATGTTTTTAACAGTATTTTAATGATAAGAATTATACCAAGATTGTACTTTAATACTAACAATTTTTTTGACTTACAGATTATATGCACATATGCACAATAAATTCTAACATGCTTTAAAATATAATAGAAAATTTTAGAATTTAAAGAAGAAATTTAAAGACTATTTTATCTAAAAAAACTCAATAAAAAGTTTCAGATGTGATAAAATAACTTATATTAGGTGATCATAATTAAAATATCTCTATTCAATGCTACAAAGAGATTTAGCAATCCAAATGTAACTGAATCTACAAGGGCTGTTTCTTTTTCAACTTCCGATGATCCATAAAACAAAGACAAATGTAAATAATAAAATGAATATATTATCAAAAGTTAGGTATAAACATGGTTACTTTTTGACATAATCACTGTGAAGATTGAGGAATTTGTCTATCTGTGTATGAGCTTTGAAATCCCCTCTTCATACAATGTTGCTGTCAATGACTTGAGATGGGCCATAACATTGTTTTATTAGTCTCGAACCTCTGTCCTCCTAGACACGTTTTCAGTTCAGGAAAGAGGTGCAAGTCTTCACACATTAAAAAGTTCCAAGCTGGGTGGAAGTCTTCACCACCTTTAAATAACCAGCATATAGCCCCAATTTAGTAGTGAGTGATTTCCACCTCTTTCCTAAATTGAAAACAGGGCTAGGAGGGCAGAGGTTTGAGACTAATGATGATCTTCAAAACAATGTTAGGGCCCATCAAGTCATTGGCGGCAACATTCTATGAAGAGGGATTTCAAAGCTTGTCCACAGATAGACAAATGCCTCAATCTTCATGGTGATTATGTCAAAAAGTAACCATGTTTGTACCTAACTATTGGTAATAAAGTCATTTTGTTATTTCATTTGTCTTTGTTTTATGGACAATCAAAGGTTGAAAAAGAAACAGCCCTTGTAGTACTATAATATTTCAGAACATAAAAAGAAATTTCTGTAAATAAGCAGTACCAAAATGCATCAATGTGTCACTTTTGGCACTGCAAGCAACAAACATAAAATGTAGAAGACATTTTATGCTATACAAAGACCTTAACAACAAAAAAGGTATTTAAGATGTTTCTTGCATCCTACAGGAAGTACACAAGTAGTCAGTTTGGCTTATCCTATCCCCACTCTTATATGTTAGCAGCTGATTCTCCTTCTTTTTGAAGTAAGTGTTGACTATTGCCAAATCAAATACTGCTGCATATTCCACTATTCTCTTCCCCTGTTTATTTCTCTTGCCTATACTCTATCCACCATTCACTCTTTTTTCCTCTTTTACATCTTCTCAACTCCAATGATCAATCTCTCACTCTCTGGAGTTTCCAGTACCCATTTTATCTAATTCCATTCAGAATTTATCCTTTTCTTCTTCCCTGCATCCCATTTGGGGAGAATACACACATACTATTGTGACAAAACTTCCTCCTATCTCCAGCTTAACACTCATAATCCTGTCACTTCTGATTATCTCACAAACACCATTTCTTAACTCCTTGTTAACTAGAGTGCCTACTTCATTACTGTCTTTTTCATTTGCTCCTCTAGAGAACAGTCTATAGCTGTTTCCCAGTTCCCTTACTTTATCTTCTTTCCACATAGTTTCTTGCAGGCATAAGATTCTCAATCTTCTTTGTTGCATCAAGTCCACTAACTCTATGGTCTTTCCAGTCATTGTCCCAATGTTTATCACTCCCATTCTAACATCAAACACCCTCCTCTTTTCCTTTTGTTGGACTAACTTCTTTAGCCAAACCTATCCTTGATTCAGTAGCCCAAGCTCATTTCTCACAGTTTTTGGGTAATGTGACTGCACACCACTTTCAGAGTACATCCAAACTCTCATATATTATCTCTTATCCATTATTCTATTGGGTTTTAGCATATAAATTTTGGATGCCCTTCCTGACACCAACCCTCACCATTTACCAGGTTTGGGACTGGCACCTAATGGGTTGACTTGTCTCCTCGGTGGCTAGTATTATCTCGGTGAAAGGATATCAATTATATGCGTTTAATATTATACCTATATGTTGTATTTGTAGATATAAAGAATTAAATTAAACAAAAATATACTACAGATCAAAAGACATTTCGAATAATAAATAAATTCGAAAAGAATGGAAGGGAACATTGATACAAAATCAAATACAGTAAGATATTCGTTCGCATTTAAATTTATATTTTGAAGTTTAGTGAGTAGTTCGATGGAATCAGAGATGGTAAAGCTGTATGCGTCAAGAATATAAATTTAAATGGGAATGAATATCTTACTGTATTTGATTAATAAATAAATTATTAAAGTAAATGACAGATTAAGATCAATGAAAATTTTCAGACTGTATTACTGTAACTTTTGCATTGCTTCCTTCTTTATTTATTAAGTTAATTAATCTTTATCAATCATAATTAAATAAATATTTATAAAGATACTTACAATATCTGGACTAGACAGACCTAATTTTCTTAATTCGTAGCTTCTTCTCGTCTCGATACCTTTTGAAGAAATCTTTTCTACATCTCTATTTATTTTTTTATTTGATGAAAATAGATTATCAAATTTAGCTAAATCTGGAATGCTAGAAGCTAAAAGCCAAGTCTGATTTAAATTATCATATATGAGTTTTCTCTGTCTGGGGCTTCTTCGAACACAAGGAGCTTTAGCATTTTTCAAGTTCCCATTCATATAAAGATGGTTATTACAGGAATGTGAAGAACCAGATTGAATTTTTTGATCATTTTTTGGTAACTGATGGTCACTGTCATCTCCTAAATGTACATGCTGTCTTGTTGCAAGACGAGTGATCGTCGACGAAACTGAAATAATTTTAAAAGATTTTTCAATAAAACTAAATTACACTTTAAAGTTGACTTATTAAATTAAACTTTTTTATTCATTGAAAATAAAATACAACATATCCAAATCTTATTATAAGAATAAATCATCTATACCAGATGCACTAACATCAGAAACATTTCAAACATTAATTATAACAAATGAGACTTTTGTAAAACTAATTCCATACATGTTTGATAATTATAATTTAGATTACCTTCTGTTATCAAAGTTCAAAACAATAATAATGAGAAACAATTTGGATATTATAGGCAGTTAAGTGGATCTAATTATTATATCAGCTATATGCAATTATTAAAAGTGAGATAAAATTAAGATTTAAAAGCTTTGTAATTTCATCATATGAGGGTTACAATACTCAAAGGATATATTACCTCCTTGCAAAAAAAAAAAAAGCTTTAAAAATTCTATTGATTTAGACACTTTTTATAGGCATACAATATTTCAAAATTAATCTTCCTTCAAAAATGTATCTGAAAATATGTTAACAGTTTTAACTTACATTACATGGTATACAGTAAAAAATGTCATTGTCATGGAAAATCTTTAGCTGATAGAAGTGCTGTATTGAAATTCTCAAACTTATTTGTAAGATTTACAGAGAAAACAAAGAAAACACAAGTAAAAACAGAATTAATAAACAAGAAATGCATCATATTTTCATGACTGTCTAGCATTCCAGTCTATCTGTGGAGACAATGAAATCAGATATTTCTGTATGGTAAAAACCAGCATGCCAATTTATCCCAGGGGAATATCAGCATGCTGGGTTAAATGACATTATACACCCCTCTCTAGAAAGCACATTCAAAAAAACAAATGAGTTATGTCACATAAAAATGAACAAATTTTTATTCTAAAACTGTGGAATTATCAGGATATGTTATTGTGAAACTATCAGTTTGTTTTAAATAAACTTTCTCGGCAACAAAAAAGGTGTTTGGTTATTGTCTAATCTTTTGCAGAGCACGTTTTATTTAATATCAGTATATGTTTAATTTCATTTTGTCTTCTTTCTAATGATGTAAAATATTTGTGGAATGCCAAAAGTGCTTTTTTTCATATTTATTTTATTATAATTTGATTAAAAAATGCAAAAGTAAAGTAAACATATTAAATTTAAGTAATTCACTGTAAATTATCTCATCTTACAGGGATTAACATCCACTTTATATGAAATTTGAGAGGAAGGTGTTATTTTTAAGGTCAGGATATATGGTCAGTGTAACCCACACTGACTAACTGCTACTGCTACTAATCTGAATAAGTCCTTAATTGTTTGATTGTCTTGTAAATGAAAACTCTTCCTGATTTTGAGTCAGTCAAATTACAATATTACTATTTTATTGTACTCGAAAGAATGTTACTTTAACATTTAATTAATAACTAGTTTTGTTAGATCTGATTAATTTTATTTTTTAGTCATAGTTTAATTGACATGCCAGTAACCGTGGGGTTTCCAGCATGCTGGTCCCCCACAGTTATATGCAGCATGTCAGTCTATCCATGAAAATATAGTATTATTGCTTATGTACTCATCACACAGTAGTTCTGAGACTACAATAAACAAGTTTATGACCTAAATCAAAATAAATAAACATATTTTTGGAAAATACACTTTAATTGTATTTAAATTAAACTTCACTCTGACACCGGGGATGAAATACTAAATACTGAACCTGTTACCGGTGTAATTTGCGTGAAAAATCTTCTTTCCACAAACGTTTTCGAGCTTTTCAACTAGCTCTTCTTCAGGTAGACAAAAAAGTGTTTCGTTGGAATTTTTTGTCTACCTGAAGAAGAGCTAGTTGGAAAGCTCGAAAACGTTTGTGGAAAGAAGATTTTTCACGCAAATTACACTGGTAACAGGTTCAGTATTTAGTATTAATTGTATTTAATTAAGAGCAGTGATTCTTGGATTTAAAAAAATAACAACAACAACAACAACAACCTGTTAATTTAATTATATTTAAAAGCATTTCAAATTAACAGGTGTTAATTTTCACATCAGACATATAGGAAAGAAATTTTGTCTGTTAAATTTAAGTTTTATCATAATTAAACCTAAATTATTTAATTTTGGCTATTCTGGAAAAAAAATAATCATCTGGTGCTTGAACATGCAACTTCTTTCCATGCAGTTACATTGTCAATTATGCTACCACATCTCTGTCTGAAAACAAGAATCAAATAGAGGTTTGGGTAACATAATTGGCAATGTAACTGCAATAGTCAGAAATTACAGGTTTGAATCCCTCTCTGGATCAATGCTTTCTTCCAAAATAATTTGTTGTTAAAAAATAATGATGGCACTATCTGACTCTTCTGGCTGTTGATGAGAATTTTTTGCTCTCTTATGATCTAACTCATTTCTTTCTTCTTCTTGAAAAATGTCAAGAGTTTCTGTCTCAGAAAAAGAAAACTTTTTTGCCACTTTCTCAAGAGGTATCACCACAAAATGTATGAAAAAAATTGGAAGCGAGGAAATGCCTCAGGTGAGTCAATTAAACACTTGATCTTGTTTTATGTAAGTTCCAAAAAGGAGATTAATGTTCAAGAAGGAATTAGACTTTTGTTGAAATTTACAAGCTTCTTCAAATAGTAAATTACAAATATTTTTGGAGCATTTAAATAGAATGCAAGCATAGATCGAGAATATAGATACTTCTTTGGTAGATCTTAAATCCATAATATGGCAAGTGTGGTCAACGAGGACATCTTTCTTTATTTCTCATTTCAGAGGGAGTTTTATGATCACCTTGAGCAAATTTAATCTCCAATTCTCTGCCAAAAAACATGTGCAATCTAATGCATATATCGCATCTTCTGCATCTCTACCATCTTCAAATGTATTCTATGAGCAGAATGGCTATGTCTTCACCTATCTCTTGAACAAGAACGAGACTTTGGAGTATGAGATCGTGACCTTAAATCTATGTTCTCCGTTTTTTGAAACTGATAGAGAAAAAAGTTCTGTAAAAGGTGGCAAATCAAATACAGAAATAGATGTAATATGTAATAATTTGCATGAAAAGTTAATGAGATTAGAAGATAAAGAAAGAAGAAATAATGTTATAATTTCATGCTTAAATGATAATGATAAAATGGACAATTGTTTAGTTAAGGTTCAAAAACTTTTTAATGATAACTTAAAGACTACAAATATGAATATTAAATATGCTTCTAGAATTGAAATATTTAAATCAAATACAGAAAAAAAAAGTGATTATTAGTCAATTGTTTTAATTTATCTTCAAAGTTAAAGTTTATAAAAATATTAGTGTGATGCAAACCGGGAGACCTCTGACCTCTCCGGCAGTTCACCTATTTGTCAGACGAGTGGAGGGAGAGTTTCTTGGGGTCGATGATAAGGTGAAGGACATAAATGAGTAAAGGAGTCTACCATTTTAACAAGTAAAAATGAGAATTTATTGAAATAAACTAAATCGACAAAAAGACTACTCAAATTTCTTTCTAAACCGCCTAACAGCTCGAGAGAGAGTTTACACACTTTTTCATACCTCTTTGTATGGTTCCTAGACAAGTAAGTCCATGTAGGCACATAAATGTCTAAGGAAAGGTGGTTTTAATCCAAATGAGCACAAATATAAAAAGTTCGCGACTCTGGTGATGATCGGATATCGATGTGCGGAGATCGGAATTTCGGCGGGTTCAAAGAATCGACGCGATGTCGTCGGTCTGGCTTTCATTAAGAGACTCCCCCGAGAGGAGGTAAGAATTGTCTTTTATAGCTTTTTGCGGGGAATTTCCACCACGTGATCGGATGTTCATGAGCTAAAGGTTATAGGTGTTCCAGGGACCTAAAACAAGTGACGAAAGTTGGATGCTAACTATAAACTTTTGTGCAAGATGAGCTGCAAGTTATGTAGAGAACAATAGAATTGCCATCTTTCTGGTAGTAGCATGATTCTATGTTCATAAAATTTTTTGAATCTTTGCTTACAAAAAACTGATCCAAGTGATTTTTGACATCCTCACTTGAAATAAATGCTTTACCATTTAAAAAATTTTGTAAAGACCGGAACAAGTAATAATCTAAGGGTGCCAGATCTGGCATTATCATGGTGAAACACTAAATCTTTTCTGTTGATCAATTCTGCCCTTTTCTGTTTGATAGTATCATTCAATTCATCCATTTAATGGCACTACACTTTCAAATCAACTGTGGAATTGTCTATTAAAAGCTCAAAAGAAAAATTTTCCTTAAAATCCTACCAAATAGAGCATCTCTTTCTTTAAGAACATGTGGAACCCATATATCAAGCTTTGAAATGAAACCAAGTCGTTTCAAGTGATCAAAAACTGTTCAATTTGACAAATTTAATCTCTTAGTGATTTCTTGTGTTGTTATTCGACAGTTTGCTTCAATCAATACCTTTATTTTGTCTTCATCAGCTCCAACTGGCCTTCCAGAACATGTGCATCTTCAATATACAGTGGAACCTCGGTATATGACCTTAATCCATTCCTGATGTTTGGATTTATACCGAATAGGATGTATACCGAACCAACCTTTCCCATAAGAAGTAATGTAAAAATGATTAATCCGTCCTCATGAAAAAAAAATGGCTGGCTTTAAACACCTCGTTTTCCTGCTTGATTTTTCATGAGATCAGCATGTATCTTTTTAGCTTAATCGCAAATAATTGCTTCTAATACACTGTCTCTAGCACACTGTTTTTCAGTTATCCAAAGCAAAAGCAATTTCTTAACATGATCTAATGTCTTCAATCTCTGTTTAGAAATTGATTTAACTCATTTTGCAACGTTAGCAGATTTAATAATGTCTATTTTTCACGATTGTCAATATCGTCGTTCTCGGAACACGGTATGCAACAGTTAAAATCTCGAACATGTATGCCACCTTCATATTTCTCAACAGTCTTCTTTTTTCAGTTCCATTGTGATTCTAGTCATTTTTTTAGTTTTCTGTTGCTTT